ATACCCCGGCCACGTGGAAAAATTACTGTAATTTCGATCGAATGGCATTATGGGGTCGGCAAGTCAGTTCAACAACCCTCGTATAGTCACTCAAGATTACGAGCTGATTCAATACCGTATAAGTTAATGAAAGGATATTAACTTTTTCGTGCGACAGGGGTACTAAACGTACTATTTACAGTGAGCTAATTTACTTCTCTCCATGGGCTCTGAACTGCCTTAGAATAAAATAGAATTCATTTGTATACAGTAAGCATTACTATTCCGTTAATACATCAAGGCTTCAAGTATAAACGCGGCAAAGGCAGTAAAATAATATTAGAATTAATTAACGCATAAATGCCAACACGCACTTTCAATAATCACAGATAAACTTGTTATCCACCTTCCAGTGAAAACTTAAATGCCACCATGCATATTTATAAATTTCAACACCATTGCACACGGATAATAATGAAGAAGGAGGTTCCATTTCATTACAAGATTAAAGCGACCATATCCAGCACTCTACTAGCGTCCTACATGACCAACAAAGCCCCTTTATACGTCGTTTCTCACCTTCCGATCGTATCCATACGTCGCCCAATATCCGTCACGAAAAAATTTGAACACAAATTTCAGGAAGTCGAGTAACGCGGATTCTTGGGCGAGTTGATCCTGAAACTTTGATGACATAATAGAGCTTCACGACATGGACGAGAGTGGGGACGAGACAACACAATACGCTAACTTCAACTGGTTTAATCGTCCGATATGTAAGGGTATAAATACTCTGCATCATCGCGCCATTCAACCAATCCCATGCCACGCCAATGATCGCAAGAACTGTGTCTCTTTGTCGCCCAAATCGATCGACGCCACGCTGACACATCGATCCCCGTAGTTTTTTTTATCAGGTCTGCCTCTATAATTTCCCGTACCGTCTTATCTCGATGCTTTCTAATAACAGTGCGCAAATTAAATTCAGGTTTGCACCCAGTCATGGCAGTGCATTGACAAATGACCGTCACGCTGTCCGCTCACTTCTTGGTTGTGTTCGCGCAATCTATCATTGAGACATCTTCCCGTCTGTCCCACGTACTTTTAACCGCACGTCAGCGGGATCTGATAGACAACTCCTGCGCATTCTACAAACAGGCTGCTATGCTTTTTCACGCAGCCAACCGGTGGATTGCGGTGAGGGTCCGTCAGTTTGCACAACTTGGCAAGTTTTCTACTGCAGAAAAAACCACCCGGAGCATTTACGCGGTTTGCTATCTTTTTGAGATTGTGTGCGGTTTTGTCGATGTAAGACACAACCATAACTCTATGTTTCTTTTGGGCCATGTCTTGATCTGGACTCGCTACTACTCGTAGCTTCTTTCAAACCTTTTCTGCAACCGACACCAGGAGCGTCCCCGGAAAACCGGCAGCCACCAAGTGTTCCGACTGCTCCTTCAGACCTGAAGGCATCGCATGATTTTTAAATCCTTTATGTCTTGTGAGCAGGCTAGGAAGCCTTTTTCCGCGTTTGTCTTTAGAAAAATCTACGACTTCATCCAAACTTTTGACTAAAAACGGGTCGTCAATAGAGTCAAGAGTGCTCTCAAGAGACACACGGCAGAAATCGGTGGCGACAAAAAGACACAGTTGTTGCGAGCATTGGCGTGGCATGGGATTGGTTGAATGGCGGGATGATGCAGAGTGTTTATACCTTTGATATTTGACGATTAAACCAGTTGAAGTTAGCGCATTGTGTTGTCTCGTTCCTACTCTCGTCCCTGTCGTGAATCGCTATTATTTCCTCCAAGTGCAAGAAGTATCTCTCTTCGTCGAGGGAGAGGTCTATCTATAATCGACCGGCTTCATGGTTGAATAGTTGCCACACATGTCACTCACACCGTAGCCGGACTTGTTCCGCGAATCCACGTAAATGCCGCAATGTCGAGAGAACCCAAAAGAATTAGACAGGAGAGCAGCGTAGGAAGCGTGGGATTACGTGGGACGAAATGCTTAACGTTGTCGACCCATCTCTTGCTCGTGTGCACTCCCTGCGGCGGTGACTGAATTTTTTTATTTTTACTTCCTTTCTCTTCTGAAATGTCTCGGCGTTCCTCTTCTTGCAGTCAACAGCTCACACACAACGTAAACTTCCCAGAATTGGATCCCGTATGAGGAAAAAAAATCTCGTTGCCGGAGCCGGTTCATTCGAAAAGTGTGGGGAGCTGCGGGTCTGCACTCTGGTCCCGCGGTTACGGGGATAACCATAAGTATAAATTTGGCACTTCCAACCTTAATAACGCGTCGTATATTACTTTCATATTATATATATAATTAATTATACAAGACTGCGCATTTAAAGCGCATATTAATCTCGGATAAATGCGCACGAACAAACCACGTAACCTGAGTGAGCAGACGACGTAACCGCGGGGTTAAGAAAACCAGAGGGGGCGCCTTCTTTCGACGTGGCCTCCCCTCTCCGGCCATTGTGACGTCACGACTCGGAGCGCTGCGGCCTTAGCTTCTAGAAGCTGTTGATCTGCCACATGTCACTAAAGAAAGCAAAACTGAGAGAGAGAGAGAGAGAGAGGGGGGGGGAAAGAAAGAGTATAGTGCAGTTGCATGTCTGCGCTCTCCAGCTTGTCTGCGTTGCTTCCGTCATCTCCCATACTCCGTTCATCCCTAAACTGAGACTACAGTGGAAGCTACGTCCTCGTTGGACCAGTCATACGCCTCTCTTTCGCCACATTACCACGCTCCCGGCCAGACTTGCCAAAATTACCATAAAAAAAAGTAAGGAATTACTTTAACAATTACTATGGCTAAATGTAACTAATTACAGTTACAATTACACTTCCATAAGAGTACGTGACCGTTACTTCAAAAAGTAATCCGTTACTTTCGTAACGTTACTTTCAACCTTACTGCCCTAGGGACTGTCCTAGGGTAAGAAACAAGACAAGTGTTTGGACGCGTTTATTGTTGCCGCAACTCACGTGACCTCGAGCAACATCTGGCTCTCAAAAGTCTCATCGGACATTTTTCCTCGTTACTATGAAAAGATGTCGTCATCCGCGCTGAAAACTTTTTCAATCCACCTTTTTCTAAATAGGTGCTGCCACCTGGGCGCGCGACTGAGTGGCTAGAAAACCACTCGTTCGCAAGGCCTCCCCTACCCGCTCGACACCCAAAACGTCAGTTAGACCCTGGTGGCCCACTGAGACGCTGTGACCTATAGCTACGGCTCCCCAAACTTCGCTTTTGTCCCCAGTGTAGATCATCTTGGTCCCTAAAGATGACAAAGAGAAGTCACCCTCTCTCTCTCTCGGTCTGAACAAAGCAAAGCAACAGTGAAGGGTCAAAAAGTTCGTTTTATGTGAACTCCTTGAACTGGAGGGCTTACCTAATACTGTTTGCACAGAGAGTCCGGTTCTTTGTATCAGTGTGCTTGGTTGCGGGCGAGCAAGCTGAAGAGTTACAATCTGCAAACAGCCAAACCACAGAAAAATAAAAAAAGTCGACGTTTCAGAGGGCGTGAAGAAAGGCTTTTAACTTTCTTCACGCCCCCTGAATAATGTCGGACCCTGAGGTTTGTAAGTGCAGGTGACAGTGTGACTCCGGCAGAGCTTACTCTTACAATATATATATATATATTTATGAGCTTCCTTTTGTCATTATTCAAAGTTCCCCTCTTTTATTTCGTGAATGAAAACAAAAATTTAACGAATTACAATCGTAGACAGGCGGTGAAAAACACAAGGGCAAGAAGAGGCGTAAACAGTGGCGCCAGTGTTTACGTTTCTTCTTGTCCTTGTGTTTTTCGGCGCCTGTCCACGATCATGTACCAACTGACCCACACTCTAAAAAATGTATGTGCGTCTACTTTCACGCACAACACTCGGAGAGCCAATCACCGCAACTTACGGAGGCAGTTCAGCGAATGCCAATGCCGAAACATATGTTTAGACCAAAAAACGCACTCTGAGTTGTGACATTAAGCAATGCAAAACGTCACGCTTGCATTGCTTAGCGCACAACTCAGACTGCGTTTTTTGGTATAAACATATGTTTCGGCATTGTCATTCGCTGAGCTGCCTCCGTAAGTTACGCTGATTGGCTCTCCAAGTGTTGTGCGTGGAAGTAGACGTACAGACGTTTTTTTAGAGTGCAAACTGCCATATTAATTCGAATTACAATCATTCTATTACTTACAAAAGTAAGCAAGTTGTGTGTGAAAATATGTGTAACCGTCTACCAGCTCGCCTGTTTTTACTTACTTTTCTTCAGTTAAGGGAAGTACTTTACAATTACTTTCTGAAACATGTGTTTATTCCCTTAAACAATTACCGATAAATGTAAGTGAATTTTGTTACCTGTAACGGATTACTTCCAATTCTGCTCCCGGCCATACCCACGCAAAGATAGCCGGTGCAGGTGATAAGAGGGAGGCGGCTGATTGGTCCGGCGGGAACGTAGCTCCCACCGGGATATACAACCACACCCTTAAATAGTCTGTGCGTTCACCTTCTTGCAGAGTATGGAGACAGCCAATTAAGAAGAACAATACAAGGACCCCAGCCAGTGTCGAAGTTCAGAATACGATTAGCCGCCAGGAAATCTGATGCGATGAGCAGGGACAATGAGCATAATCGTATTCTGATCTTCGTAATCGGCTGGGGCCTTCTATTGTTCACCGTGATTAGCTGTCTCTGTGTACTGCAAGAAAGCGAACACATACTTTTCTTTAGAGTGTACACAGCTGATCCTACAAACCTATACGCTGCTTTAAAAAAAGTGAGCATTTGCTCACACCGGGTATGGGCACTGCGCGCGCGCAGAAAGCAGATACGCGTGAAGTGGAGCGTCCGCGGATGAGCTCTGCCGACACCGGCGCAACAGCCGTAGCGTCACGTCAGGTCCGCGTGTCGGTGCATACAGGATGCGATGCTCCCAGCAATCCCGTCGGCGCCGCAGATGGTGCGCTGCTTGTTTTGCGAGAGGTTCGATCATCCCCTCAGGTGGACGGGGGCCGCCGACGGCGCCGCCGTCCCTCGGCCGGCGGCTGGCGATGCCGCACACGCTGCTGCCACGCCCGGGAAGCCGCTGCGGCGGGGACTCCGGCCCTGAGCCCAGTCCGTCCAGGTCCAGGAGGTCGTCTTGGTCCCTCCGACGCAGCCGGGACGCCGCGGCCTCGTCGCTCGGCTTCTGCTTCCGAGGCAAGGCGGCCTCGGACTCCACTCCGTCGTCGGGGGAAGTCGAGCTGATCGGGTACTGCAAGAGGACCAGCTTCGTCTTTGTCGAAGAGGGTGCCATGACGGAGGAGAAAACCGAGATGAATGTGAGGATTGCGCTCGCTCGTACCTAAGCCGGAGTCACGGACGTTTTCTTCGTACATGCCTCGAGCATGTCTGCGCACACTTCTTTTATGAGCAATGTGACGGAAACGTCGTACAAGGACGGTTTCTGGAGTGTGTCTTTAGTATGATGTGTTAGAAGTGTCGCCGTGGTTTCAAATACATCATAAAAACGACAATATGCAGACACTGCCTGAGGCATGTTTCGTCCTCCTAAAAAGGTTCTTTTACATTGGTCATACAAAAGTCTGTCTGCGTGCATGTTCGTAGCCAGAAACAAACACGCTTTGGACGAGCTTGAGGTGTCTCCGCAGGCAAATCATCCCATCGTGTCAGCAGCGCACAGTGTGACTTGGTTCGCATACTAGCGACTGCTTACAACCGGAGAGGCTTTAAAAAAAACGGTGGTGGCGCAGTCGGTCTTGGCCAAACGCGAGTCTGTGTGCAAGCCGGCATTCGCACCTACTGGCATACTCCATGGCCCGAGTTACACCCGCCAAATGTTCTCTGCAGGGTGTACCGGGGGACCACGAAATACCCAGCTGCCCACCAGAAGCCCCGGGCAACCGGACGTCGGTACCACCCGAGCGCATGGACAGCGAGGCCTTCGAGCGGTTCGTCCACGAAGCGAACGTCCGCTGCTCGACCGGCACCCGCGACCAATTCGCCGACTTCGTGCGGCAGAACCGGGAAGGTTTCGCCCAGCTGCTCGAGGACAGCGCCTCGCGCCTCGGGGGCTCCTTGCCGCGTCCCTTTGCCGACCGGGACTCTGGCGTCTTCACCGACCAGGACGGCTGGACTGCCGCCACGGCGTCGTCCAGCGAGTCCAACCTCCAGGGCGTCCGCAAGTGGGATGACCTGGACTGGAGGTCTTCGAAGGAAACAGAACTAGAGGTAAACTTCATTTCTCCATGAGCATTCATTGACTTATAAGTGTCAATCTTTTTTTTTTTTTTCATAGATGAAAATATGTTGTTTTTTTATACGCATTCACCTTTGTTTGAGTCCCATGTACTGTTTTCTGTCCAGAAAGTAAACAAAAATACATTTCTTCGGGTAAAAAAAAAAAAAGATTTGAGCGAAAATTTTTAGTTTACCAATTCTGCGTAACCTAAAAGACAAACTATTCAAATTTTAACAAGTCTACACGCCATTGCGTTCAGAGTGGAGCGGGCGTGCAAAGTTAAAAACAGGTTGACTTAAAAACTACCAAGGTTTTCACCTCGATCGCGTCTTCCATAGTCAGATCGATCGTTTATGGAGCGGACGACATACCGCAACTTAGCACCACGTGCACGTGGCGCAGAAGATTACACTACTTATAGTCGGTGACAAGTCAAGAACACAGAACGAGAGAGAGGAAGGCTTGGGAGGAGGACGCAGGCGGAATGCTGGAGAGAGGGGATGTTCTTTTTTCTATGGCATTCAATCTGCTTCCTGCTCCTCGGCCTTCCTTTCCTTCGCCCTGGATTCTTGACCTGAGCCGTCTTATCGTGGGTAGCGCCATTCTCAACACTGTAGCGCCATCTAGCGAGCGGCAGGTTCCGCGGCCCTGCTGAGTGGTTAGAAACGTTGGCGAAAGTGCTCTTCTGGACGTCGCTCCCGCGTTCGGCCTGCTGGTTGGGTGCTCCTAGGGTGCCTTCATGAGGGCTCCCTAGGTGCTCCAAAGTGCTGGGTATCCGACTCAGGGCGCGTCTTGTGTTCTTGTATGCCGCGGATGGCGTTTTTGCACGGGTTGGGAACGTTTCTTGCCCCGCCTTATGGCATCCGCCTGTGCGGCGATGCCGGGAAGAGCGGCACTGAACGCGCCATCGATAGAAATCGGAGGTGAATACTCAAAAATATATTGTATCAGTTTACAGCGATTGAATTTCCCTTCAGGTTTTTTGTCGTTTTAAATGCAGTACACCAAGAATATTTTTGGCGCTTCGTGACGTCCATAAGAATAAATATTGCGTGAACAAGGAAGTGCAAAATAAGAGCATTGCAGATAAGGGTCGAAGGCAGCTCCCTTCGGTTTGCATATATTCATAAAAGTTTTAATTGAGGATCCCGAGTCGACGAGTGTGTCCTTTGTCTATCTAAAACTGAAAGCAGCGAAGTTGAGATGGACCCATTGCCGGAGAAAGTCGATCGAGAATTCAAGGACTGTAGATTTTGTTCCCAACTGAATACAAGCAGTTTCATGGTATCAAATCAATGCTTTGGAAGCTCGCTCCAGCATCCGCGCAGCAGCACAAAACAAATGCCCGGCATAGTTCATTTTTAGACTGCCCACTTGACCTGCAATATTTGAATGTTTTTTCCCATCATCTTCGCTTGCCGATTAAAAAAAACACTATTTTGAATTTTGCGACATTGAATAGCATACAGCTGGTGATTCCGAAAATATAGTTAGTTGAAGTATCTCAAGATATCGCTGGAGTACACCTTTAAGGGGTTATTCCTGAGCTAGCAGGCGTTCTGCACTAGTCAAATTAGCCATCTAGAGTAGAGACACTAGTAGCCATTTTGAGACAGACTAACTTGACGCTGTCTAAACCTTTAAACGTAAAAACTAACTATTATTTAATAACTTGTCTTACTTCATGTTAAATTCTTTATTCCTGGTAACGGTGCTAAAATGTGGCCTTTTTTATATAGGGCTTGCTCCGACGGAGTCCGCTGCTGGGACGAGGCGACACGCTGTTTAAGACCCTGGGTCTTTGTGACGCCGTCTCGGAGCCCCAGCTCCGGCCCAAACCCCGTCCGTTTTCAGACTTTCCGCGGGAGTGTCAGCCGAGCTCCGGAGCAGAGGACCTTCAGATGAACAGTCGGATGAGTTCCTCGTTCCACTTCACCACGACAAGAACCCGGTTCGAGTACTGCGGGGAAACCAACACCTTCAGGTGCGCACGTCTCTGAAAGCTCGCTCCATTGAAAAGCCGTCTAATGCTTGTTTTATATAGAGTATATATACACATGCAAAGATTTTGGAACGAATTCCAAAATCAAGGGAACCAGCACGCGCCGATGGGCAGGCGCAGAGCCAAAATTGCCAGTTGATTAGCAGCATTTTAAGGATTTCCATTTGAAGACTTTCAACGTGCGAGTTTGTTTTGAAGATTTTCAACGTGCCCGCAAGACAGGGGCATTAAACGTCATAATCAAATCCCCGAGGCAGGACAGGGACAAATAAAATAATGCACAAGACGACACAAGAGATTTTCGATCGTCTTGTCCGTTATTTTATATCTATGTGTCTCGGCGGTTTAGGATTTTAGATTATGACGTACCCTAACCAGCTTGCCTGCATAGTTTCGCTTCTTTGTATTAAACGCTCGTGCCACAGAAAGCGTTGGATGATCTACACGAGCCATCGCATAGTTATGTCCACAAACCCAGTCTATACAAACAAGTCAAAGTGATTTTTTTTTCAGGAAGCAGACCCTTAGAATATTAAATATATTTCTCTAGGATCGAATCTTCCCCACACACTGTATTTTGTACCATTTACCTTACCTTCGATATGGGTTTTACAAAACCAAACACCGTTGAGGGCACATAATTTGAAATAATTTGAAGTTCGTCAATTTTGTGCTCACCTTTAAAGAACCGCAGAAAATTTTTGCTTTTAATAAAAAAAAATAATCTTAACTTTAGCCAACTGTAATTTGACCTTATTCATAAACGCCTGCGGTAGTGCGACGTTTAGCATCCCGCGTGTCATTTCCCCTATGACATTTCCACCTTGAATGCTTACGAGAACGCTATACAAAGAGCAAGTCGTCTGCTTCTTGCCCAGGAGTTGTGGTGACGTCAGAACGACGCCGAGCTTTGATTGGCTCTGAAAGAAAGGACAGTGGGTAGACCTCAAAGCCAGCTGCCTTGAGGCCTATCCACTATTTTTTTTTTTTTTTTATAATCAGCCAATAAGGAGTATTCACTGAGCGCCATATTTGTGGGTGCTGTCTAGAGCGCATGCTCAGAACGAGCCCACATTAATAGGCTGCTAAGACCGGCAATCTTGATGGTGCGGAATGCACGTTACAAAAGAACTGTCGAAGCTCGCCATCAGCACGCGCTCAGCAGTCGCGCACACAGCTATGGCCGCCAGTGAATACTTCTCGGCGTCGTCTTGACGCCAGCGCAACTCCTGTGCAGGAACCAGACGACTTGCTCTCCAAATTACGTCGTATTCGACAGCTCTCAGTCTGAGACAGCGCCGTCCAATCCGCACACGCTCGTTGTTCTTTTCTGTTTTCTTTCTACGTTGCTACAAATACTGGTTCCTGAGCTGAACATTTAAGCCGTGTTCCAAAATTCACTCCCTCTTACTCTAGGGTAAGAGTTTTGTACCGTAGTGTTCTAAATTCTGCCCTCGTCCGGCGTTCTTCAATCTGTGTTGTCACGTGACACGACCCGCCGGAGTAACTCGGATCCACTCGGGTAAGACTTGGAACGCAGCCAAATACATTTCTTGCATCGTGACATCGTGTGTTAGTAGTCATTCGTACTTTTCGCCGAGAAATATAAATTCGACGGTGCGAAATGTCTAATGCAAAAGGTGCGTGCACAGCAGCAAGGCCACTGCAAATGGCCGCTGATGTGACACCAATGCGGACCACGTACAGCGTGCCGCCGGAAACAAATTACAGCGTTGTTGTTGTCGTCGTTTTTTGTCGCAACATTGAACAACGCATCGTCCAACGCTCAGTCTTCACTCATATGTTGCACTAGCAGTCCGTACAAGATGCAAAAAATTTCAGAACGAACCGTGTCTCGTTGAAAAGTTATAAGTGATTCTAAAACACTCAGAGCAACATGGTACAACGCAATTCGCTCCCATGTATTTGTGGGCTCCGTCAGCCGCCATTTTTCCTTTGGAAGTTTCAGAAAATCACTTATAAATGCTAACAGTTAGTTTTGAAACTTCGTCGTCTGTTTTGGATTGCTATCACTACATTTGGACTGGGTGTATTTTCGCGGTAACGGAAGACACTAAATATTTTTCGGGGACACTCTGTATACATATACCTTACGAGTGTCGCCACTGCTGGGTACTGACGGTCATTTCTACACACCGGTTGCTTCGGACTTCAACCTCTGTGGTGTGAAACTAACACGGCAAACCAAACGCTCGCGGCGCATAAAATACTGTCATGGCTGTGAATGACGTCACATGCAGTCTATGTACAAGGTGTCTCTCCGGGGGATCGGTGGCCAAGTGGGCTAGCGCACACCAGCTCGGAGCACGCGGAGCGAAAACTCGCTCCGAAGAACCGAGGGATCCTGGGGTCAATCTCCACTCCTGCCCGTTTCGATCTGGATGAGCATCGCATCGGCGTGCGGTCGTGTATCACTATTGCGTGGTGCACGGTAAAGACCGCAGGCTAGCGGTTGTACTGCACTGGCTAAATTGCTCATCTAGAGCGAGTGACTCGTCGCAACCTTGAAATGGCTGGCCAACTACACGCTGTCTAAATATCCACACAACCCCAATTATTAGGTGCTCCTCCCCCGATCCCCCTCCCCCTCGACCAAAACAAAAATTGCAGTGTTTTAATTAGAATCAGATGCCAAAGTTTACCCGTAAACCGATATCTTATTCAAAATTTATGAGTGATTTTCGGAAAGTTTCAATCGGAAAATGGGGCCCATTTCCGTTCGTTTTCAGTTTCTGCGCCATAGAGCTCCATGTACTGATGAGCTCCGTCCGCAGCCATTTTCCCATTGAAATTGTCAGAAAATCACACATAACCTTTGAATAAGATGTCTGTTCGTGCTAAAATTTTGGTATCTGGTTGGGGCCTTTAGCGCTACCCCTTGACGGAGAAAGACGTTCGGCGATGCGCAGTTTATTTTTCAATGAAAGAAACCCCAGTCATGTCTTCTTCTTTTTTTGTTCTTCGTTGACAGCCTGTATATCGAGGTAGGCGCGTTTCCTTTTTCTGCCGCTGCAGGTTCAACAACCAGAAAGTGTGCGACAGCCTGGAGAGCAGCTACGACAGCCTGTCCGAGAGCGAAGACGAAGACGAAGAATCCCCGGAAGAGAGCAGGTACATCGAGGCGCCCAGCGATACTAGCAGTCTCAAGGAGGACTCTCTGGACACGACCACAGCCTCGTCGCCGCACTCGGAGGTATGGGTCGTAGCTGTCAAGTTTTTACCCCGTCATTTGTATTCCGTGCGTATGTCAGGCCCACGTTTGGAGCCTTTTCATCGCAAAAAGCCTGATCACCTCGGCTCACTGGCAGACTCGCGTGAACCTTCTTCAAACGAACCTCCAAGACTCGGGCAGCGGTTTTCGCGACGGTCAGAACAGCGTTCTTCCCTCCGCCTGCAGACATTATTCGCAACTCCAACGCCCTATAGGTGGCGGGGCGGTAGTTCCAAGATGGCGGAAGAGACGGGGATAGATTCTCCAGGATATCCCGTGCGCCTGCTCGTGCTGACGCTGTTTAGCGCGCTAAAAATGATTTATTTGTCTACAAATGCGAAGCGGTTAGGGAGGGGTCATATTACTGGTGACGGAGATGCTGATGCACGTTAGAAAAACGAGCATGCTGATATTTAAAAAAGTTGCAGAAACCTCAAATGGCGAAGCTTTGTGGTGGGCGAGCGCGTTTTAGGCACCGGCCACGTTACTGTTTGTGGCAGAATATTTTTGAGGGTGATGAAGATATGTTTGCGGCTTTGCCTGGCTATTAGTGCTCTAAAAAGAGAGTCGCGAACGGTGACCGTCAAGCTTCGGAAGAGCAGCGTTCACAGTATTGGTGTCTTCGCGTCAGAGCCTCACAACTCGCTGCTCGCCGTCTCGGTTTTAGTGTACTGCAACACGTAATGGTTATTGATAGAAAGTTTGTTACCGCATGCTACTGTGCGGTGTAGTATTGAAACCGCGAGCTCGCGCTGCGCCTTTGAAGCACAAATTTCAGTGCGCGCCAGGAGCGTTGCCGTGCTCATCTCTAAAAAAAAAAAAAAAAAATGTTGTAGTTCTTACGCCCCTTGGCACATATACGACACTCCAAAACTTCAGTTCGTCCTGCAGCACACTGACGTCGAATTGACGCCCCCAACTTTTACGAAAGGCTTGATGACGGCGCATTATAAGATATTAAAGAGCTAAAGTACGCGTCAAAGAGTACCGAAAAAGCACACAAAAAAACGAGGTTTTGCAGTTTGCAGTGGGTCAAGAAAACCCCAATTATTATTATTATTATTTATTTTTTTACAGTCATTTACACTTGGGCTATTTTAAAAAGTTGCGCAAGTCGGCTATCAAGCCGCTCGTGAAAGTTGGTAGCGCTGGTTGAACGTCAGTGTGCTGTACGTCCAACCGAAGTTTAGTGGTGTCGTACGCTATGCAAAAACTACCTATTAATATAATCTGCGTGTTTACGAGTTTTATTTATTGCTCTATTAAAATACATATCTTAATATACCGTACATTTGTTGTACCCGTGTTATTTGCAACATTGCGGTCCGTCAAAACTGCGCGTTAAGCTCTCGTCACAAAAGGCTGGCTAACACAGACGCGCTTAAAATTCTTCGAGCATTTCTTTATTTGCTTTGTAATTATCGGAAAGCAAGTACGGGTATTCTGTCTTTTTAAAGTGCTTGGAATAAATGGTCATGTTCCTTGTAACGGCCTTAAAACGCGAACCCATTCCCGATTTGTGTCGCTCAACATACCGTTGCGCGACGAATCTTCTCCTACTTATGACAAAAAATAGACTTTCCGCAGACCGTACTATTGAGTTCTTAATTATTAGCAGGAGCGTTTTCCATCACGTTGAGTATAGATTGAGCTGGCCGCCATGCACAATACCAGAAATCCGCAGCATATGCAATACACGAAAAGTCCCTAAGGAAATTAGACATCCCGGTCCTTCGTGCAAGGCTGTTGCAAGGCATAGCACAAAAATTCCCTTTTTAACGTGCTCACTTTTTTCGTTAAAAAGGCTTCGCGCATCAACGCCGACAGCCCCTGCCACCGTTTCCACGCCGCCGCCGCCGTCCCCGCTCCTCTGGTTCTCCGTTCGTCCGCGGGAGGGCGAACAGCGCGCTGGAGTTGCGAATAGGGAGTGTTCACTGGTCGCCATTGCTGCGCATGTTTCTTTTGAGCTTGTGCCGTCAGTGACCTTTCACCAGATTATTTCGCACGATCAAAGCTGTGGATCTTACATGGGCCCGTTTGCTCGAAGCGCCAACCGCGGCTAAAGTTAGCCGCAGTACCTAGGAGAAGGATTTTGAAATCACGTGACTTGCTCGGGATGCGGGGAAACATGGCGGTGCCCCGGTGAGTGAGCGCCGCTCGCTTTGGAACTAATATATCGTTGCAGCTGCAATATCGGGCGCTTTAGTCAGCAATGAATGGTGCAGGACGCTTTCGCTTTGCCTTACCTCACTTAAATCGCAAAGCATGAGCAATGACCTCGCCGCATTTTTTAGGTAGTCTTTCGATTCTGGTCATTCCTCAGCCTAAATGAACGCGATAATTGTCAGCATGGTAATTTCTTTGGAAAGTGGATTGCCTTGACTCAATATGCCGGGTATTGATAGCACACAAAAGCAGACCCTTCGATCTTTCTACCTTCTACCCTCTTAGCCACATAGGTGGTGTTCATTGGCAGCCATAGTTGTGTCCGCTGTTGCAGAGCGCGAGCTCACAATAAGCTTCCATAACGCTTCCGGAACGTGCACTTCACACCGCCAAGATTGTGAGTCTTCTCAAAAGATGAGTGGGCGTATCATTTTGAGCATGCGCCGTGAACGCTGCCCTCAAGTATGGCGCCCGGTGAATACCACCTATGTGGAGCGCACGTTCGTCTGCTTCTGTGCAGGGGTTACAATGATGTCAGAACGCCGAACTCTTATTGGCTAAATGAAAAATAAAATAGTGGGTAGGCATGAAGGCATCTAGCATTTAGGCCTACCCACTATCCTTTCAATCAAAGCCAATCGGAGCTCGGCGTCGTTCTGTCGTCACCACATCTCCTGTGCTAGAAGCAGACGACTTTCTCTCCGCCTATGGTCATGGCGCTGGTCGTTCTTGTGCGATTCATATATGACCGGCTGGACGAATCGGGCACAGCGAATGCGGCTTGGTCCCTGCGCTTTTGTCTCTAAGTAATTGGTTTAGCCAGTGAGTATGTAGCAAGCGCACAAAGACGACCGGTCGTGACGATGCACTTTTTTGTGCTGCTTAATTTGCTCCTCCGGATCGTGGTGTTGACTGTGGTCAGACGTGAAACGAAGTCGAGGATGCGGTGCCACGGGGACACGCGGGCTGTTGCCTTATACTGCGGTGCCGGGGTTCTTCTGAGTCCATCAAGATTACCATTACTAATACCATTAATAATTTACTATTACAATTTTGGAGCATATTTCTTGGGTCATATTTTTTTTAAGTGCCCAGCGCTTTAAAATGAGGTTTAGTAGAACTTCGGTAGATCCCTCTTGTAAAGGCCGCCTCACACAGTACGCAAAAACTGCGTGTCTACGCGTCTTTTTTTTTTTTTTCGAATTTCAGTAAAGTAAGGATCTACCCACAGCTTAAGAACACTCCTCTCAGCGTCCAAAGGTTTAGGACCATTTTCCCATCATCGCGAGCTATGTATAAAGCAACATGTCGTGTAGGACTGGGAATCGATCGATTGGCCTTCCGGTTAAACGACTAATGCTTAAAGTGCGCTTAATTTCTTTGAACAAGCTAATCGGGTCAAGTCTGAACTGGAAAGTTTTAGGAGAAAGCAAAAAAGCCTTCTTCACTACTTGATCCGAATTTATCCATTTTAGCAGGGCACCCTTTAGTATTCCACAGTAATGCACTTTAGCATTATCTTACCATTACAATCCAGGGTGAATATAATGTTTCCATAAGAATGCACTAATATTTCAGTCGTATAGATTGCTTGTCCGCGTTTTTTTTCCCCTTTGTGGCGGCACGACGCCAAGTTTCAAATGATATTGTGCATTCCACCATTACGAACATAGCGAGAAATAGTTTTTAAAGATGCGTAGATTTTAAAAGCGATTAATCGGATTATTTTTTTTAATCGACGCCCAGGAATGCAGCCAATGCCACGAGCACGAGAGCCCGAGGTCATTAGCAAAGAACAAGAGTTTTCTCATTTTCTCAATGCAAAAGTAATCTTGCGAACGCTTGCTGTCGGCACGCGCTAAACCGCAAAGTGCATCTATGGTCGACAGTAAATATCCCACATCAGAAAGGCTACTAGAATTTACCCGCGTGACCGGTATTCATAATTCGTTTAAAGTGGCTGGAAGCGGCTGAGAAGCATAATTCCCGTCCAGGGGCGGATTTCGAGGGGGGGGGGGGGTCCGGATGTCCTGACCCCCCTCTTGATTTCTGCATGTGTAATATTTAGGGCGTGAAACGAGGGAGAGGGGGGGGGGTTTCCTGAACATATGGTACGCTGACCAACACCTGACCCCCCCCCCCCCCCCCCCCCGCAGGGAATTTCTGCATCCGCCCCTGTCGCCGTCCGGTAAAAAAGACGCCCACGCCCAATGCGTGCTCCGTAAACACTACGTCAAAGTCAAGGCCTTGACATTACGTCATAGATCGTGGGCTCAGGATCAGCCAACACTACCTCAAAATAATCAAAGCTAGTGGACTATAATCTGAACCTTATTTACAGTGAGATCAAGAGCAGGCACAAATTAGACACGAGTGCTGTGTCATATCTGCTCTCAGCCGGGCCTCGTGTTCAATCAACGTGTCGAAGAATGAGGATGAATGCTCATGTCTGCAACCTCCTCCTGCTTGCAGACGGCTGCCGCTCGCGTGGCGCGGGAGATCTTGACGACTGAACAGACGTACGTCGGAGTACTACATCTCCTGGATCAAGTGTTCGCGTTCCGGGTGGACCAGGAGAACCGGGCCCACGCCATGTTCCCGCAGAGCACACTGGCGGCCATGTTCGCCAACCTCAAGTCACTCTACCAGCTCCACCACAACTTCCTCCTGCCCCGTCTCGGAGATCGCATTGCGTCTTGGTAAGATTTGAGATTTCTGTCTAGCAAGATGAGCGATTCATGCTCTCACGAGCACAGTCGATGGAGGGAAAGTAATAACGACGCTTTACTATAGTAAGTGGCTGCTTGAGAAAGGTGTGGAGGCCCCTGATCATCTTATTATCGCTCTCCAGCCAATCAGATTGCTGCATAAGCCGATGAAAACGCCAAAAGACCCATCACAAAGGGAGAAATGTGAACGTCATAAGCTACACCCCCTGCGTGTTTTACGCTATCATTTGACTATGGGGAGAGCTTCTCATTTATAAAACCTTAATTCGCTCTAAACTTGAATATGCCGCCTCAATCTGGAGCCCTGGTATCACCTTTGCATCTGCCGTAGAATTTATTTAAAACCGCTCCGCCCGTTTTATACTTTCTAACTATCACCGCACAGCTAGCACTACTTTAATGAAAGCATCGCTCTATCCTTGCCCACTCTTTCTCTTCGTCGAAAGAGATCCCGTCTGTGCTTGTTCCATAAGATTTATCACTCTAACCCTACTTTCCGCCAAGCACTATTTTCTGAACCATTTTACATATCATCACGCAGCGATCATCAATTAAAAGTTGGTATCAATCATTGCAGCACATCTGCCTTTAATGCCTCTTTTTTGCCTCAAAACTCGATTGACTTGAACTACCTTCCCGCAGCCATTGTCACAATCACCGCCTCAGATAAATTTAAGATTGCCATTACTAACCTCTTACATAATGTTTAGTGGTAAGTTTGTGTATTGTTTGCCTTTTCACTGATATTTGTTTTGTTCCATGTACTGTGCCATTATTAACCTGTTAAATGACGTTTAGTAGTTATTTCGTGTAGTTTTTGCCTTTTCATTGTTATTTGCTTTGTTCCATTTACTGTGCCCTACTCATTTCCTTCGGGCCCTGAGAGACATAATAAATGAAATGAAAGCTGCTGGGTTATATATATTTCGAATGATCTTGCCCTGGCGTTGGGGCATGTGTATTGAGTTATGGAGATTTTAGTTGGATCTCTTTGGCGGCGGCAGGAAAAAAAGAAATATTTTAGTCATCACAGTTCTAGTTGATACTTAAGAAATGAATATACCGACCTAGTTCACAACTCTTTGGACGCCATCTTTGGTCTCTTATTCGGTTATTCCCGTTTGTTTCCGCAGGGACAAGGAGCCCCGTGTCGGAGATATCATGAAGGACTTTGCTCCGTTCCTGAAGATGTACGCCGAGTACGTGAGGAACTACGACCAGGCCGTCCACCTCATCAGCTCCTGGTACACCAAGCAGCCGCGCTTCGCTGCCATCGTGGATGATGTACATGTAAGAACAAACGCTAGTGAAATCATAAACCTTAGGGCATCTTTCTTTGTTGATTCATATTCCGCTATTCGCGCCCAGATATTTCGCTGTCGTTCTCTTATGATTTTCATCCGTGACCTTACGACCAGGACTTTCTTTGCCGTGTCGACATGAGCTGTGACTCTGGCCACCAATAGACCGATGCACTAAGCGTTCGGCGCGTGCGTGACGCCGCCATAACTTTAGTTCAGGAGATGCAGACGGCCGTGCATGCGAGGGCTCTTGCCCTTACGTGCTCCACACACGCGGAGCTTTAGCGGAGTTGTTGCACTTGCAGAAAAACTAAAGGCCGGTTCAGACACTTGCGTTTGAGTGCGTTCGACTGCGTTGCGTCAAGAACCGAAAGCGAGTCACCGGGACATCTGTGCTTCGTATGAAGCGTGAAATCCAATTCAAGGAATCAGCTTGGCACGCAATATAAGCAGCAGGGATGTCCTGGTTGCTCGCAGCCGCAGCCCAGTAAAACGCAGTCAAACGCAACTGTCGGAACCAGGCTTAAGCCTGGTTCCGACAGTTGCGTTTGACTGTGGTTTACTGCGTTGCGGCTGCGAGAAACCAGGATATCCCTGCCGCTTATATCGCGTGTCAAGCTGATTCCTTGAATTGGATTCCACGCTTCATACGAAGCACAGATGTGCCGGTGACTCGCTTTCGGTTCTTGAGGCAACGCAGTCAGACGCACTGAAAAGCAATTGTCTGAACCGGCCTTTAAGGTTCTCTCGATGCATTGCAGCAGTGGTGGCGTAGTCATGGTGAGATCAGTTTGTTATCAGTGGCGAAAAGAAGCTTGATGCTGTGTTTAAAAAGCACAGTAGGAGCTAGGAGCCAGCCCGTCCTTATACTAGCACCGCCGAAGTTGACAGTCTGACAATGCTGTTGAGCCCTTGTTCGACCAATCGTGGAAAGCCGACCACAGGGACACTTTGGGTCGCGCACGTCGCTTATAGTTCTTGACAGGATGAGAACGATAGGGATGCCCTTTAGTTGTACTATGGTGCCTGCAGCACGTCTCCGACTGAACGTCCTATGTTGCCCATATATCAAAAGTGGTCCCGATGTGGCAACGAACGACGCCACAGAAGCCCGAGTGTCACGCTGTTGGATGTCGCCATCCTGGCGGTTGGGCGTAGAAATGCTGGCGCACAATCAAACGCGAGTGGCGCTGTCGTCGCGGCGTCCCACCTTCTGGCTGGAGAAGCTTCCGTGGACTGTCTCAGCGGAGAGCGACCGGCAGCGGAACAGGCGTTTGCCACATCCACCGCTGCTGCTGTGACGCCGCTAGGATCGCGACCGGCGACAGCATGACACTTCTATGACGTCACCAGGCGGAAATCGAGAGATCACCCTCACAAAAATCATCAATGAGTTTCAATATCTAATGTATTCTTATAGAATACATTAAAAACTCAAAAGAAACTCAATGATAATTTTTGTAATGGGACTTTTTTGGACGTGGTAAACAACAGGTGGAGACCGCGAGCTTTCTACTTTCGATAGCGCTTCGGCGTCTGCTCTAGAGCGGATGCGCAGTCAAAGCATAGCGAAAGGCAAAGAACACGTGCTAGAGGCACGAAATTCGAAGAGCATCGTTCCCATCATGTCAGCGACTGCGTATGTTGTAAGCGACGTAAGTTTTCCAAAGGCCTTAGTTTTTATATAATTGGCTGCTTGAACAATATTGCAAAGCATTTACCCCGGGAATATCGTATCGCCCCATGCTAACAATTTCTACCACATCATTCCCAAACGGGAAACTTTGGGCCAACAAAATATTGCCGAAAATTTTGAGAAATTTCCTAAAACCCGAAAGGCGCCTCAGTTCCTTACTCGCAAACTTCCTGTACGATGGATGTATTTAGAAATTGCAAATGTGCTAAGTATATACCAAAAACAAAACAGAAACTGAAATTGAGTGCGTAGATACAGAGATTTGTCAAGACACAAAAATGAGTATAATTCTTTATTGCTTCGACCTACGGCGATTACAACCAATGCAAGAGTTTGCATTGCCTATAGTTGTTATGCAATGTGCCTGGCCTGCGCTTAAACTTCCTTTCCCGACCGTGTGTTATTTCTTTAGAGAATGCCCGACTGTGGAAACCTAACGCTGCAGCATCACATGCTCACACCCGTCCAAAGGGTTCCAAGGTACCAGCTGCTTCTCAAGGGTAAGCTCTCCAGATAAGAAAAAACGACAACATCGAAATGCACATTTCTGAAGCTAAGTTCTGTCCCAGCCAAGTGCGGTGCTTCGTTTTCTGTCCAACAGAGTACCTGAAGAGGCTTCCCGAAGGCTCTCCGGACAAGATGGACACTGAAAGTGAGGTGTTCGTGATATCTGTTGTATCTTTATTGCGTTGACGCCCTGGTACTTTGATACATATCACCGCCAACTCTCGCATACCATATTTATGGTCGTCTTTTATTTTCTGAATGTTTTCAGAGGCCCTCGAGTTAGTTTCTACAGCAGCCGATCATGCGAATGAAGCGATGAAAAAAATCGTGAGTCGACTTTTATGTTGTTTATTGTTTGTCGAAGAAAACCACACAAGAAACTATGTTTTTATAGTATATATTTTGTGGTAACATAAACCTGGCATAATATACTCAGCAGTTAAAACTCACCACAATCCCGTGAATCTAGTATTCCTAAAATAAACGGAATGATAAAATTTAATGCAAATATATTTCTTTTCTTTTTTTTAAGGGGATGACGTGTACATAGATATATCTTCTGCATGGAATGTGTATCAGTCCTGGCGGACATTTTATGGGAGCATAACTGCCACGATCAGTAGAATCAACTAAAATTCGTTGATTAACTTGTTAAATTAATGATTTGATGGGTCCCATCGCTTTTGCAGTATCGATGGCAATTGGAATTAGTGGCTTAACTGATTTCAAGATTTTTCGGAAATCCAACGTTTTCTGATATATTCATCTATGAGCCTTTTCGTGCTTTTGAAGCCTGATTCCGAAAGTGAAGGCGAAAAAGAGCTCAGCGAGAAAGGCGAAAGAGAGCTCCAAAAAAAAAGATTGGGTTGTTTGTGTGTTTATACAGCCTAGAACTTGGTCTGCCTCACAGGGGCGACGAGTCTCCCAGCTGTAGATGAGAAATTTAGCCAGTGCGGTACAGCCGCTAGCCTGGGGTCTTTAACGTGCACCACGCAGTAGTGATACACGACCGCACGCCGGTACGATGCTCATTCAGATCGAAACGGGCAGGGTTGGGGCTCGAACCCAGGATCCCTGGGTTCTGCAGCGCGAGCTTTCGCTCCACGTGCTCCGAGCTGGTGTGCGCTAGACCACTCGGCCACCGATCCCCCCGAAAGAGAGCTCAATCAAGCAGAAGTGTGACATACACATTTCTGGCACCTAGTCACTATTTTAAGCAGTGTGCCGTCGGCGAACGCACCAGGGAGAACGAGGGTAAGACGGGCCGGGGAGGAGGAAGCAGACAGAACACTGTAGAAGAGAGGGGGAAACCTCCTCTCTTTAGCGTTCCGTCTGCTTCCTCCTCCCCGGCCCGTCTTACCCTCGCCCTTCGTTCTTAGGTTGCAACGGACTTTAGATTAGCTCAGTTGTGGAACTTCCATCCCCCTCTTTTTATTCTCTCCGAAATAAGACTCAACACCCTACTTATAGTTGCGTTATTTTCTAGTCCGCGTGTTTGCAACAAAATAGTAATGAATAGATGTAAGGTACTCTCTGAAATCGACAGCCTTTGTTTCATACGAATTAAAATAATGCATCTGAGCAAACACATTGTTCACTGATGGAAAAAACGACTAACTAAAAGAATTAAATTGTCATATTGTTAATGGAGGTATATACTACTCGCTACGACCCAAACAACAAAGGTGATCCCTGTTAATCTCCGGCGAAGAGACAAAATGCAAAACGTTAGGGCGCAAACGAGCTGGTGAAGGTTTTACATAATTTAAGACAAAACCCCGAGACTGGGAAAAAGACGGAGGACAACTCAACGCACAGAGTCTCAGTTTTGAGACTTTGTGTGAGGCTGTTGTCCTTCGTCTTTCCACAGTCTCGGGGTTTTGTCTCGAACAAAATGCAGAAAAACACCGCAAATGTAGACTGGTTGCTGCCTGCTTCAATTCGAATCCCGAAAGTCGCGTAGTTACTAGCACCAGTCGAACCTTTAGCGTATATTACAATGACTCTATGATTATATACGCCGCGACCGCTACCTCAAAGGGATGTTTTGATGTTGCAGGACAAATTCAAGAAGCTCCTCGAAATTCAAGAAATGGTAGGCGGAGTCATGGATCTGGTCAGCCCAACTCGGGAACTGCTGCGAGAAGGCAAGATTACCAAGATCAGCGCGCGGTCGTCGGACCACCAGGAGAGGCACATGTTTGTGGTGAGGGGAATAAGCACAAGCTTGCATCCAGAACGGGGCGCGTCACGATCTGGCTCAGCGGGTGTCATATTTTCGCGCGCTGTTTATAGCGCATACTCAGTACAATCTTCGCACGTACTGGCTGCTAAGATCGGCCAGCTTGATGGTTTGGAATGCACGTTACAAAAGCACTTTGGAAGCTCGCCATTAGCTCGTGCTCAGCAGCCACGGACTCAGATATATGGCCGCCAGGGGATACCACCTATTGAGTAGGCGATAAAATGGAGAAAAGCATTATACCAGGCGCTAAATTCACTTTGGTGTTTTAGGGGGAACCCATTATGACGTCTTATCTACCTTTCAGCATGGGTACCGATTGTCCATATAGTACAGGGTGATTGAAAGAATAGTTAACCATGATCTTCTCTCCTCAAAGTATACATCACCGAAGTATCAGTTTCCACCCGAAATATGGTGCAAGTGGTCCGGATCAGATGCCAAAGTCCCAGAGCTTGCCATTATCTTATTCAAAAGTTTACGATACAATACAATACAATCTTGATTTGCTTCTTAAAATACAGTTTAGATGTGAATCCCACATAAGCCAATGCTGGCTTGTGCGTGGGACGCGACAGATTTATCTTCATTGTTTTTTTTATTAGAGAATTTGTAAATTGTATTACAGGCAGCCATTGCGAACTAAATGGAGTCTCTAGCTCTGACGTGCTTATGTGTGTCCCTTGTTTTCTTTTGCGTTCGCATACCAAGAAGAAAAACATAGTTAGGCTACTCCGCTAATTCATTAAACAGCAGTAATGTATAAAATATGTTCCATTTTGGCCTTACGTTTTTAACTACAATTCAACTTATCGAAGCGGACCAGTATTCTAGGTGTGTTTCTACTCTGTTTAAATACCCAGGTTTTTGACACTTTTTTTTTTTTTTGGGGGGGGGGGGTTTATCTTGAGTAACTCTTCAGGTAGTTCATTAAAAATCTTGGGTACATAATAATTTAATGTGGCCTATTCATATTTGGTATAAATAAGTAGTTCAATGGGCATTTTCTGTTCGGTCTTAACATTCTTCCTTTGCCATTTTTCGCTTTATGCTTTGTAGTTGAAAACATGTTTTATTATAACATCCTGCTTTATCTGGTCTCTCAAATGCAACAACCCAGTTCTTTGTGCCGATAGTTTGAAGGTCAGTTTCTTCACTTAAGTAACCCATATCTTTGGCTATCCATTTTTGGATCGATTCTATTTTTAGTTGTAGGTATTTGGCAAAGTGGTCCTTAGACTGTTATTCCATATTCAAATGCGGACTTGGACAGTGTATTGCATATCATTCTTAGTATGGACCGAGGGACCAGGTCTTGCATGTGATACATCTGCGCCATTAACATCCTTAGTTCTAGATGAACCCACTTAATATGTTGGTATAAGTGCATCCCTAGGTATTTGACATTATCAGCGTATGTCAGCGAAACGCACGAGAAATCACTGCTATTCTTCTCGTACATTTTTATTGGTAATTCAGTTAGGATTTGTTTCCTCTGGTCTCTGAAGCATAATATTTGTGTTTTATGAACGTTTACAACATTTTGATTTTATATCCGGAAACTTTCGATTAGAAAATGGCGTTTGTGGCAGCAGACGCCTTTGGTCTTTATGTATTCGTGGGCTTTATGGACCGCCACTTGTTAACTGGATCATTTCCGAAAATCGCTTAGAACTTCTGAATTAGAAAACGGTAAGTTTCGAAAGCACAAACGCTACATTTGGGCGGGGACACGGAGTTCGGCGATGCGTAGTTGATTTTTGTGAAGACCAAGCGCAGTTAGTGTCCTTAGGCTCTCTTCAGCACTTCTTGCCGTCTGCTTCGATAAAACTGTTTTTAGGGCGTCTAGTCTTGGTTTGTATGAGCTTTCGCGGAACTCAGGCATCGGGCCTTGCACCATGATCGTTTGGGGCATGACATAGAATAATCTCACTGGCTTCATTTTTTTCTCTCTACCGATTACGTAAATGTGAAGCACATATGAGCAAAAATGGCGTCTTGCCGCTCCGTCAAATGGCGTAACGATAGCAACCGCCACTGATGCCATGAGAGCTTTGGCGTGCCGAATGCCGCGCCGCAACGTCCCAGCTTTAGCAACGGCTGCTATGGCTCGGCAGCGCAGCGCATAGCGGTTTCTGCTCATACGTTTTTCACGTTTCACTGCTCAGTCCTTTCTGGCGAGGTTTCGCAGCGGATCCCGTGGTGTGTAGTTGTGTCCGCAATATTCGGTGAGAATTTAGTGTAGCGTGACGTCACGGTGTCATGTGACACCAGTCGCGTCACGGTATCACATCAACGCCACCAGCCAAATTTAAATACGGCAGGGAGACTGCAGCGGAGATAATTTACATTTACAGGAAACCCCCTTTCTATGTATCTTCCTCATGTCTAATTACGGCAAGGAATTCCCTCCAGTTTCTTGCTTTATTCAGTCACTACCAGTCCTCGGGTGTTTCGCTTTACTATATTAGAGCGCAGCTCTTAGGCGCTTGTTCCGGTGTTTCGCGGCGTCGGCGTTACAGAGGTGGACGGGAGGGTACGCAAGAGGAGGAGGGGAGGGCACTGAGGAGGAGGATGGGAGGGTATGGAAAAGGAGAAGGAGGAGGGTGCAGAAAACACGGCATAACGCAAAATCAACACACCTCGGATTTCCCTCTAATTTCGGATTGCAGAGATTTGTAAACATCTTTTTTTTTCTTCTTCTTCTTTTAGTTGAACGACCTGGTGCTGCTGTGCAGTCAGCGACTCATGAGCAACCGCGTGGTTTCGGGGCCGTGCTATCGGGTCAGGGCCCGCCTGGAACTGGACGGGCTCTTGGTCCAAGACGGCGATAACCTGGAGACGCCAAACAGCTTCTATATCAAAAACACGGGTCGCTCCATCGAACTCTGCGCGCCGTAAGACATTTCTCTCTCCCATGTCTTCCGCTTCCTTTGTTTGATTTGGTTGTTTACCGCTTAATCCAATATGCAGTGCTTCAGCTAACTTGTGCTAAGGGTTAAAGAAAGCTGAGGTGCACGCTATACGCGAGTCGAACCAACGCATTATTGTTCACTATCCTATAAGCAGGTCAGGATTCTCTTTTTGCGAAGTGCCAAGTTAGTTAATTAGCGCAGTTAATTAGATAACTTGTTATATATTATTGTCGTGCGTACACTCTCCAATACAAAAGCTGTAGAGCGACAAACATTTTACCTTATCGTCCCCATCGAGGTAGCCTTCGTGCTTCATTTTTTCGAGGCCCGAAGAAAGTGAACAAGTTAAACAAAAAATAAAATCCCACGTAACTAAAAAAAAAAAAAAAAGTAAAGTGGACTTTTTTTTTTTAATCCCGCGCGATTTTTTTTTAGTTTGAAATGGCAGACATTCAAAAGGCTACCCTGGTGGAAACGTCAAGATGAGATGTTTCTCAACGAGCTCTGCAACTTTTGCATTGCATAGTTTACGCTAAAATAAATACTTATAAGGTTAATTAAACTGCGTTAATTAGCCAGTTTCGAGCATTCCGAAAATATCTGACTTTCTCGAACGACACTGCGTTGGTTCGACCCGCGTAGCGCGCATCAGCTTTCTGTAAGTCTCAATACAAGTTAGATGAAAAACCTTGAATATGTATATATATATATATATATATATATATATATATATATATATATATATATATATATATATATATATATATATATATATATATATTGTGAGGAGTGTCTGGCGAAGGACTATGCCAGGCGCACGTGCCGCGCACGTGCCGCGAGAGGACGAACACGGAATGGGAAAGACGACGAGGACGGACCGGGGGAACGTGCAGTTAGGTTCTGGGATTAAGGACGGACAGTAAAGGTTCCATCCTAACAAGTGGGGGCTCGTCCGGGATCGAAGATGGACAACCTGGAGGTGCCAGATGAACTGATAGCCCGCCTTTTGAGACAAACCGACGGATCCGTGATGCAGCGGGAGCGAGCTTGTGTTCAAGTGCGCCAACTGCTACTGACTGCTGCAGTGCCCCCAGCCAACGAACCCGAGGTGAGCGCGGCTGCAGTCCACCCGTCTGGCGGCCCTCTGCCGAGAATTGCGGCGCAGTTGCCGAAGTTCACAGGCTTCAGTGATCGACAGTCGCCCGAAGAATTTATCGAGAGGCTAGAAAACTTTTGCTTGATTACGGGAGTCACCACTGAAAACCGTCTCAGCCAGGTCGTTCCGGCTGCACTGGATGGGAGCGCCAAATTATGGTGGCGTTTTATCGGTAACTTCGGCAGTTGGGATGATTTCAAGACGGCGTTTCGTGCCGAGTTTGCCTCAATCGACGCCAAGCGACGTCTAAAGGACGAGTTGAGATACCGCACTCAACACCCCGAGGAGAACCTCAAGGAATTCATTTACACCATCGCCGAATTTTACGAAAGAATCGGGGAAGAGGTGCCCGACTCAGAAAAGGTCGACCGCGTGCTACGCCAAATGCATCCCCAGCTCCAGGATTTGGCGGAAGGGACGCAGTACGCGAATTTGAGCGAGCTCGCCAAGGCAGCGGACGGCCTCAGCGAGCGTGCCTGGCGGCGTCTTCAGTACAAGCCGCCCCCCACAAGAAGCAACCAGGTGGCCCGTGACCTAGCTTTCCGGGCACAAGGTACCAGCGACTTCCCCGGGACGGAAACTGCAATTCCCGCTACTTTCGCACCGGCTCTAGTAGCGCCTGTGTCATCTGCAGCAGTCGCTATGCCATCGACGTATCGCTGGCCACTCCATCCTGCGGCAATCGAACCAGCCTACTACAGGGACCAGCTTTCAGGGCCCACAACGTCAGGGGGAGTTGCAGATTCAGTTCGGCCGATGTCTCAGTGGCATCAGCGCCAACAAGGAGTCGACCGTTGCCGGAGATGTGGAGGAATCGGTCACTCCGCTCGCACCTGTGCCACGGGTCGGCGTTTGGGTCCAGGCCTCTGCTTCAGGTGCCGACAGCCTGGCCATTTTCAAGCACAGTGTCCGGGAAACGGACACTGGTAGATGCTGTCCCGGTGAGCATCTACGACAGAGCGCTGCAAGTGGCGACTACTGCCGGGGGAAAAGAGCCTCTCCTTGACGTTACCATTGGATCATCAACGTTCAAGGCGCTGCTCGACACAGGCTCCAGCGTCAGTCTCTTGGGTCGGCCGGCCATCGCAGCTGCTCAAGCCACAGGTGCCAGTCAAAAAAGGGAAGTGCGCACGCTACGACTGGCAACAGGATGGTCCCAGTCCACTGCATCTCTTCGGTGCAAGATCCGGTGGGCGGCCGGTTCCCGGAGACAACGTTTTCTGTGTATGCCCGACCTCTGCAGAGACATTGTTTTAGGAAGGGATTTCCTTACAGTGACAGATATCTCCTTGCATGTGGCGCTTGGGGGATGGACAATTGGAACAGAGCCCCAGCGCATTGTTCCATTTGTGAAGGCCATAAAGCAAGCAAGCAGCGAGCTTGGGCCAGAAGAATATTCGTACTCCCTGGAGAACCTCTTCAAAGAGGAGTCAACTTGCGCCATCACATTCAGCCATAGTGCTACCGAAGGCGATGGAGACTCTGCAAAGACACCGGGAGTGTATGCTCCTATAAAGAAATTGTTGGAGATCTTTGGGCCAATCTTCACCAAAACTCCCGGCTGCACTTCCCTTGCCGAGCACCGAATTGACACAGGAGACAGTCCACCCGTTCGTTGCAAGTTGCGCCCCGTCAATTCTAAGAAACAAAAGATCATTGACAGTTGCCTTCAAGACTTGCGGGAACAGGGACTTGTGCGTCGGAGCACCAGTGAGTGGACCAGTGCACCTGTTCTGGTGGCCAAAAAGTCCGGAGGCTTTCGCCTAGCCATAGACTACCGGCCGCTCAACGCACGCACCAGGGTGCCAGTGTATCCAATGCCCCGAACCGACTGGCTGCTGGCGCAACTCGGGAGAGCGGAGTGGTTCTCAAGCTTTGACCTTTCGCAGGGTTTTTTCCAAATCCCTATGCGCGAGGACGACATTCCGAAGACGGCGTTCATATGCCACCAGGGCACCTTCGAGTTTACAAGGATGCCGTTTGGTGTTGCAGGTGGTCCAGCCTCCTTTCAAACGCTGATGGACAGGGTCCTGAATGGAATCAACCACCAATTTGCTATGGCATTTATGGACGATGTACTTGTGTATTCAGAGACGCTGGACAGCCATGTTGCACATGTCCGAGAAGTCCTGGAGCGCATCAGATCAGCAGGACTCACCATGAACCCCGACAAGGTTCAGGTGTGCTGCCAGTCGCTGAAGTTTTTGGGCCATGTAATAAGCCCTGGACAATGTAGGCCGGACGAGGGGAAGGTGTTGGCGGTGCTCGACTACCCCCGACCTACCACAGTCAAGCAGCTGCAAGCCTTTCTGGGTTTGGTTGGCTATTACCGGAACTTTATCCAACAGTTCTCCATTATTGCCCGCCCTCTCCCCGATCTCTTGAGAAATGACCGAAAGTGGATCTGGAATCACCAGCAGGAGCATGCCTTCACCCTGCTCAAGGATGCACTGGCTCACGATGCGGTGATGAGTTTGCCAGACCTGAATCGGCCCTTCGTCGTCGAAACAGATGCCAGCGGAGTTGGCATAGCTGCAGTGCTTCTACAGCAAGGCCCCGACCAACTGCAACCGGTGTCCTTCATCAGCAGGGTGCTTACTGAATCTGAGCGACGTTACACCGTCCAGGAGTGGGAGTGTCTCGCAGTGGTCTGGGCAGTAGACAAGTTCAGACCTTACCTCGAGTTTACCGAGTTTGAAATCCACTGCGACCACTCCTCACTATCCTGGATGTTCAGCACCGACCAGGCCTCCCCAAGAGTCAAGCGTTGGGTTCTTCGACTCCAGGGCTTCAACTGCAAAATCAAGCACCGGAGAGGGCTTGCGAATATCCCAGCAGATGCCCTCAGTAGGGCACCTCTCCAGCAGGTAGACATACCTGATCAGAGCCTGCCTGAAACGCTGTTTCCCATCTGTGCACCAGAGTCGGAGCCTCAGATCACCTTTGAGGCAGCTGCAGCAGCGTCCCTGATCGACGATGTCACCTGCTTGAGCGACAGAGCAAGATTAATTGACGAGCAAAAGCAGGACACTCTTTTGTCGAGGCTCCTGAGTGTTAAAGAAGGCATGAAGCTTCCTGATGATGACCCTGACCGGCGCCTACTGGCGGACTTGGCGGAAACAACAGAAGTAGAAGCCAACGGCCTCCTCGTTCAACTACGCGGGGAAAGAAAGGTGCCCTGGCTCCCTACCCATCTTCGCCAATTGGCACTTAAGATGTCACATGACCATCCCACAAGCGCTCACGCAGGTTTTTTTAAAACTCTAAAACGCGTCTCTTCCCGCTTTGTCTGGTTGGGAATGAGAGCTGACGTCGCCAGGCACGTTCGTTCCTGTCAAGTGTGCCAACGCACTAAAGCCCGCCGCCAGAAGCCACAAGGGCTTATGAGCAGCCAGTGGGCCACTGCACCGATGGAGGAGCTAAGTGTGGACATTGTAGGACCTCTGCCCACCACACCTAGACGCAACAAATACCTTTTGGTGATAATCGACAAATTCACAAAGTTTATTGAACTTTTTCCTTTACGAACAGCAACCAGCAAAACCATTATAGAGTGCATGGTGCAAGTTTTCTGCCGACATGGCACACCTGTTTCCATCTCCAGTGACAACGGCAAGCCATTCGTCAGTAAACTGTTTCGAGGTCTCCTAAGCCACTGGGGGATCGCCGACCGCCACACTGTGCCATACAGACCATCAGGACAAATGGTAGAGAGGCACAATGGCACGGTGAAGGAGAGCCTTAGAGCATATTGTTCCACCCACAGAGACTGGGACCAGCACATTCCTGAAATCGCTTTCGCGATGCGCACGGCAGAAAGCGTCGTCACCGGATTTACCCCAGCCTTCCTTTGCTACGGCCGAGAGCTTCGCACCCCGTGGGAAGTGGCGGGACTCAAGGATGACAGCGAGCCACCAGCTTCAGAATGTCATGCTTTTGCGGCGGAAGTCACTCGGCGCCTGCACGACGCACTCGATTTCGCTCGCGATCACCAAGAGAAAGCAAGGCAGGCCCAGAAAACGTATTACGACCGGCACCGGAAGCCTGCAACAATACGTCAAGGTGACCTTGTCCTCCTTGATGCCCACACATTGAGCGATGCGGCCAAAGGCATTACTGCGAAGCTTGCTCCACGCCGCACGGGGCCCTTCCGTGTGGTCCAGTGCCTGGGTGCTAACGACTTTGTGCTTAAGGACCCAGTTACTGGGCGAAACCGACACGTGGCTAACGCGGACCAGCTGACACCGTACCACGAGCCGGTTTCAGATATACTCCCGTCTGGTTCACGTCTCAAGAGGGGGAGACCTGTGAGGAGTGTCTGGCGAAGGACTATGCCAGGCGCACGTGCCGCGCACGTGCCGCGAGAGGACGAACACGGAATGGGAAAGACGACGAGGACGGACCGGGGGAACGTGCAGTTAGGTTCTGGGATTAAGGACGGACAGTAAAGGTTCCATCCTAACAATATATATATATATATATGATCATAAATGGAGTAGACGCAAGCATTGAATGAATGAGTATGACGAGGAAATGAGCCGATTTTCAAGAGACTTAGCTTTCCAGGTAAAACGTTTTAGCTCAAAAACTGCCGTTAACGTGGTTTCCCTGAAGGGAGCTCCTGTCTCACGGAATAATCACTCTCACGAAGACTAAACAATGCAAGTTGAGCTTACCGTTCGCGCACTATGGTATACTATATACTTTCTACCGAAATAGTGCGAACTTGTTTCTTATGCTTCAATCCCCTGATTAGCCTGTTACACGCGAGCATTTTGACACATCACAGTAATCACAGTATGTTTAAACAGTAGAATCGACTTTATGATTAAATTTCCACATTTTTATTTTTATTGAAAGCTCAGACATCGTCGTCAAAGAAGTAATTGTCGCTCTTATTTTCTTTTTTTTTTTTTCCTAGGTCTCCCGAAGAAAAATTGGTCTGGATGCAAGTGAGTTGATAAATATACAGCGATATAATAAGCTCAGCGCCGTTGTTTAAACGCAGAAGTTTTAACATTCAGGTGGCACGGAGTGACCGTCATTGTTTGCTCACAGATATTGGCCAAGGCTGCCCACGACCTCAAGCAAAGGAAAAGTTCCCTCAAAGTCGGTGTTTCTGGACAAAAGGTAAACAAAATGTACTGGAATGTGTAACAGCTAATGCAAATATTTAAGAAATTAATTACGGTATTATAGGTAAATGTTTCGCTAATCATCACTTTACACACTCTACCTGATGTCCACCGCGATCAACAGCGTTAACCAGAAGGAATCGTTTCTTTATTTCAGGTGCAATCTTTAGTAATTCTCAGTCTTTGGTGAAACACCCTGTATACTTACGGAGTGTTTCCCTGAACGCTGGCCAAATAAATCCTGCGAAAAACACGGATTGCGAAAAAAGAAGGTTTGATGTCCTATTGGTATCTACCACGCGGTCCATTTAAGAAAACTAATGAGATCCGATAGATAACCGTGTAAATTGCGGTTAAACTAAGAAATTATTAATTCGGTTAGCTTCGAATCGATCCCATTTGTAATCAAAGTTCTGAAGTCGCTGTGCGGTGGCGTCTTCATCGGCGCCTTTCCTTCCAGACACCCGAAGGGCTGGAGTTGGGACAGCGGGCGCCCGTGCTCGTCAAGGCGGAGTCGGTGTCACGCTGCATGAAGTGTTCGGCGAGCTTCTCGGCGTTCAGCCTTCGCTGGAAACATCACTGCCACGCTTGCGGCATCGTAAGTCTAAGCACAATCAACCTCCGAAACTGAGATGCAATCACGCCATACACCTTCCTGGCGCTCATCACCAAAACAAAACACGAGCGAACTTGCCGAGCTGCGGACATATGCGCAGTGTCTGCTATTCCGCAGGAAGGACGCAGCACGGAGTTTGGTCATGCATTGGCCAATGGCTGGCGATGGTCTTCTGGCCAATGGCCAAAGAGTGGCCATTCATCGGCCAATGGTTGGCCGATGGCTTATGGCTAATGGCCAGAGAAAGGCCAGTCATCGGCCAATGGCTGGCCACTGTCTCGTCACTGGCCAAAGGACCATTGCCAGCCATTGACCAATGATTGGCCAAGTATTGTAAATGGTATAATTTATGGTATAATTGTAAATGGCCATTGTATAATATTGTAAATGCTATAATTGGATTCACCAGAGCTACAAAGTCACATCTACTTGCACGTTCCTCGTAGGTCTTGTAGACTCTATACTTTGTTTTACCCTAACGAATTTGACCATGCTGCACCCATGACACGCCTACAAGTGACGTGTAACCATTTAGAACAGATTTGTGGGAATGTTAGTCTTTATACTTTTGATGATCGTAAATTTCGAAAGTGTGTTGAGACTATTGTTTTGTCCTCACATTTCGTTTTTATCCTGTTTAAACTCTTACTACTAACTGACTCACTGATAAGAGCACCACTAGGGAGGCATTAAGCTGTTGGTGAGTCACTCAAAATAAAATGAAATAAATAAAATAAAATAAATAAATATCTGTGCTGCTTGGGTTGCGCACGATCAGGACATGCTCAGGACCCGTTCCATAGGTTAGCAGACAAAGATGACAGTATATTACGATGATTATACTTTGTCCCCCTTGTTCGCCTTCTCCAGGGATTATTATCGTCAGTATATTACGGTATCCTAGGAATGTTTTTTGACGTCTTAATTGTTCCGTTCGTGCCTCAAAAATGGTGCCCAAATGGCAACAAATGACGTTACAAAAGCCAAAGTGTCAGGCTGCGATCCTGGCGGCTTGTAATAAAAATTCCGGAAAAAAAAAAAAAAAGCGGGAGCAAACGCGAGTATTGTTGTTGTTGCGGCGTCCCAACTCCTGGCTTCCGAAGCTTCGTGGGCTGTCGAACTGGAGAGCCACCTTCAGCGGAACAGGCGTCTGCCATATCCAGCACCACTGCTGTGACGCCGCAAGGATCGCGCCTGGCGGCAGCACACCACGTGTATGACGCCATCCGGCAGAAATCGAGGGACCACTTTGGCTGTGTTCTGAATCTTACCCCAATGGATCCGGGTTACTCCGGCGGGTCGTGTCACGTGACAACACAGACTGAAGAACACTGGACGCAGGTAGGTCTTGGAAGGCCAGGGTACAAAATCTTTATCCTGGAGTAAGATCGAGTAAATTTTGGAACACGGCCTTTGTAGGATATGGTACACGCACCAGTCGGAGACGCGTTCCAGGCGTCGTACCAGTGTGCAGACGGCGACTAGAAAAGCGCAAATTTGTCTGCTTTTTTTTTCTTTTTTTTTTTTTTTGTGGTGACGTTAAACGCCAACCTTTCATTGAAGGATAGTGGGTAGACCTCAAGGACTGCAGCTTACTTTGAGGTGTCCGGGCGTGCTAAGTTGCCGCTCTGCCGTCGCCGGTTTTTCTTCGCTCTAGGTTTCGGAAGTAGCAGCGCGTGGGCTGTGACTTGTGTGTGTAGTTTAACGATGGATGCGGTTCCCTCCACGAGTTATATGGATGCGGTTCCTTCCAGGAGCGGTATGGATCTGGTATGGATGTGGTTCTTTCCACGAGTGCCTGTCAGACTGTAGCGCTTTGGCGCTACAGTCTGACAGGCAGAGAGCACAGAAAAGGGGCGAAAAAATTACAGGAAGATCCATTGGTGGATTTTTAGGGAATCCGTTAATCCGTGGGAAATGCAACACACGTCCTCTTTTGGGAAACGCTAACACTGGCCCCGTAACGAGGCCGAAAATAGGCAGCAGAGAATAAAGGAACCAAAAGAAAAAGCCAAACTGTCTCCGACAGGTTGAACAGAAGAGTTCAAGGATTTTTTGGTAAGGAGTAAGCGCCTTTCTTTCGTAAACAAGGAGTGTGCGGTTTTGCCGCATTCCAGGTGGCGTGTAGCAAGTGCCTGTCGCACAAGGTGAAACTGGCCTTCGACAACGGGCGTCCGGGCCGTGTGTGCGGCTCGTGCCAGGCGGCCATCCTGCAGAATGACCCGGACTCGTCGGCGGACCAGGAGCGGGATCCCGGCTCACCCGGGCCCTGCTTTTCGCCGCCCGTCGTGAGCAGCTACCTTCGGCTGAAGACAAACGGCCGCGGAGCCTGGACGAGGCGCTGGTTTGCGCTGCACAGCGACTTCGTCCTCTACTCGTTCCGCTCGGAGGAGGTTGGTGAACAACCCTTGCACTACACGTAAAGGAACACTGACAGGGTAGTTACGCTCGCCAAGGTTTTTATTTGTACATTGCATATGAGAGCCCAACTACCCAGAAAAAAATTCGCGACTCGAAATATGTTTCCTTTCCGCTCGATAACCGCCGATCGGGAACTGGCCGGTTTGAGACGCGCTCACTCCCTTCTCTGTGGTCACGAGCCGTTTTCTATGGTTTCGACAGAACCACCAAATTTAATCAAATCAAAGCTGCAAATACGTTGAATGGAAAAAGAAAAGTATCACAGCCACGTGACTTCCGCCACCTCTCTCCTCTTCGCGTTTTTTTTTTACTTTATTAAAAGGAAAAAAATTGTGTTTTTTTACTTTATTAAAAATATGCGTGACGCTGTAGCAAAATATTGATTGAATAGTCTTCTGACACCAAAATAAATCGCCTGGAAAAAAAATAAGAAATACATTTTGGAGGGTGTAAGTATGTGGCCTGCCAAAACAATTTTATCTTGTCAGAACACTACCCAATCAATATTTTGCTACAACGTCACGTGTATTTTTAATAAAGTAAAAAAAACGCAACTGCTCGAAACCAAAATTGGACTGGGAGAAAGAATAAATAAAAAGGATAAAAAAATTACCAAAAATCGCGTAGCTGTGACTTTTTTTTTTCTTTTACAGTACACATATTTGCAGTTTTTTAAAAGCCACAAAAAATGGGTATCATATTTTTGTCCATTTTTAATATTGAGTGTGTGCCTTCGATGACCCACGACTTTGATTATCTTTGGTGGTTGTGTCTAAATCATAAAAAACGGCACATGATCACGGAGAAGAAAGTGAGCTCAACTCAAAACGGCCAGTTGTCGATCGGCGGTTTACGGGCAGAAAGAAAGCGAATTTCAAGCCGCCAATTCTGTTCTGGGTAGTTCGTTTCTCATTTGTCATGCACAAATAAAAAACTTGGCAAGCATAAATACCTTTTCAGTGTCCCTTTGAAACATGCACACAGAGGAAAGCAAAAAGTAAAAAAAAAAATTAATTGTATGGAACCCATATGTACAAATCCCCCCCAAAATAAAAAAAGTGCAGTATTTAGGTTGCGACACTTACTTCTTGAGTTGATATTGAACGATATTTTGGCACGTCGACCATAACTCGTAGGGTAACTTTGTAGTTTGAGCTGCGGCATTAAATCTAAAAAAGCTCCATCTCTGAATTCTTAGTAAAAAATTGTGCTCACAGTAAAAGTACACCTTTTTTAGGGTCACAAAATGAGACACTTCAAAACATGTGATTCTATAACCACATACAGTCTCTTTGAAACATTATATGAGGTGTTCAGCACCTGCCATTGAACAGTATGTACTTTGCTAGAAGAGCTCTATTAACGTACCAGCCCTCTTTTGTGTAGATGGAGCTTCTTTAGATCTTATGTTGCAACGAATTTAGTACATGCCTACTGCAGCGACTTTAGTATCAGCATTTCGCAAACCCAATTTTCTAGAGCGGTCATTTTTCTTTACGTTATGTTTCCTAATTAAGAAAATCACCATTTTTGAAAGCAGACGGCGAGGCTGGCAACGCTCCGTCTCTAACGTGCAGGACGAACTTCCCCTGACCTCGATGCCGGTCCCAGGGTATTCGGTAGCTCCGGCGGAGAAGGGCGATGGCGTGGACGCCAAGAGTCCTATCTTCAAGCTGTTCCACCAGAAAAAGACTTACTTCTTTCAGGCAGCTGACACGGAGGAAGTGCAGAGGTAAGTCTGCTGACCACTTGTTGCGTATGATTGTCGACAGATGAAACCAATGTGTACGCCTGTTTGCATGCTCCCTGAATAATAACGACATATAGTAGCAATGGGGCAGTTTGTTGGACGATAGCATATATGCATCCGATATACTGCCACCCAGTTACACAAACATTACCAGTGAATACACACTGCGCTCTTCTTTCTCTGGTCACACAAACGACACTGATTTGAAGAAAGGATGCTGTGATTTATTTTTATTTCATGGGGAAAGAACTAGAGGAATGTGATCATACTGTGGCCTTACGTTCATGAGTCCCCACATCATGACTCGTGGGTCAAGGTTAACCATTCGCGTGTTTCCAGCAAATACAAATAGTACCAGAAGATATCACACCTCGAACGCGTCTTCATCATAGTATAAGCTAAGGCAGTTTAGTCAGCAGTTTAGGAGAAGAAAAGTAAAAATCAAACTTGTTTATGATAAGCTCTACAAAGATGACAAAGAGTACGCCTATTCACCACAGGGTGACGAGGTTATTTTGCTGGAGTAATTTCATCCCGATAACCAATCTGAACAATAGCATAAGGTAACACGCAACCAAAAAGAAATAGATGTCGCATTAATTCTTGCTAACTTTCATAGTCTCGCTTCTAAACAAGAGGATCTTGCTTTCGTAATTGATGATACCAATGCCAAAATAGTGGAGCTCCATCTAAGTGAATCATTCTGTTTTGTAAATATCAAACATTGTTACGTAAGGAGGGGCTCTCACCTCATTGCACTTACCAAATCTATTACTGCGATGTCAACCTCTCTAGATAGCGACCTAGAAATAGTTTGGGACCGATTAGAACTCGCTCGTTCACGACTTATTCTTGGCCCACCAAGACAGGAGAGCAGTTTTTCAGAAAAACTGTTTGACTGCATTGGAAGTATCTTATATAGTAGCTACCCTGATTCTTGTATGTTAGGTGGTGACTTCAACTACCTTGGTGACAACTGGATAGAAGGAAAAATTTAAACCTCATGTTGGGCTTCCATCGGCCCTGTTGAGCGACGTTGCATGTACTCTAAAGAGGGTTAACGGGGTTTCTACATCTAAGAAAAGAGTTGACAGGAGGAGGACTGTTGTCATTCCCTACCTGCACAAAGTACCGTATCTCATAATTTGAAAAAAGTAGGAGGTCAGTATGGCATCCCGCTTGTGTTTTCCGGCCCCCAGAGATTGAGCCAAGTTTGTTCGAGGATCAACTTGAAAGCAGAGGGGCTGCCAAAAAACAGCTGTAACAACAAGCATGCCAAACCGTTTGTGTTTTGTACCTCGGGTGTTGTATACAGGATACCATTCTCTTGTGGCAAGGGTTATATTGGACAAACCGGTGGATGCTTGGAACAACCGGCTCAGAGAGCGAGCTACGGTCGGCAGCCATCTATCGGTGCACTGTGAGACTTGCAAGTGTAAACTGTCCTTCGATGAGACCACTATGTTAGGAAGGCACCGAGATAAGGTGATGCAAAAAGTGATAGAGGCCTTCCGTAATGTTAATTACGGAGCGTGATGTGTCAGCAAGCCGTCGGTGGCGTTAACGGAAAAACAAAGGCTTTTTTGAACTATGAATAGGGGCAAGTGACGCATTGATAGCTGAAGACCTCTGTGACAAGACAGTTTGGGTAGCACAGGCATGGTTGAGTGTCCCTTTTATGCTTTCTGCTTTCACTATTAAACGTTTAGTTGCAAGTCAGCGCTCGTTCTGTGGATTAAATAATCGATTGATGGGTGGCGATTAATCGGGCTAAACGTTTTAATTGACGCCCAGCCCTAAATATTATTAATCGTGTGTGCATCTGTGTATATTGTCTTTATTATAAAATAAGTTACACAGAAAAAGGGGGGGGGGGGGGGCGTGTATAAGACAGTGTGAAGAAGTCCTCTGAACCAGCTCCCGCAGTGTCACTATTTAAGCAATCTTCAATGATTTTGAGGGGTTTCAAGTTTCTGGTGATGTGCAGCATAATTGCTTAATAGATCAAATCCACTTTTAAAATATAAAAAAAAAAAGTTTCGCAGGCACCGGCACTGTGGTTTAGTAGAAAGATAAGGCTCGGTGGTGCATTTTTTATATAAAAAAATCTTGCCAATTAAGATTTCCTGTACTTCACTATGCAGTTAAAGGGGCACTAAACCACTTTCAGCTATAGCCTAGCTATTATGGTCATAACTCAATCTACGGGCTATAAGCATCCCAAAAAAGCAAACATTAGATTCATGCGACACACCAGAGGGTGCCATCAGTGCCTTCTGGTGTCTGGCATAGTTTCAAAGTAATCAATCTTTGATAGCATCTTAATATAGAAATCAGCCACGCATGAACGTAACATTAATAGGATGCTTCCCATAAATTGAGTTATGGCCATAAGAGACTGTCACAAAGTGGTTAAGGTATGTGCCCCTTTATTTTTAGTGTAAAAGTAAACAAAATTAAAGAAAACATTGTGCCTGTGGTTTATTGATGCATTTTTTTGGGCAAACAGAGAACAAGAGTAAAGTCATAATTCTTTTCCTCATCCTCTTTGTTGCTTCTGTTAAATCAAATACTACTATTTACAACTTTCACGGCCTAAGGAAAGCACTAGTTCTTATTAAAATGCCGGTCATCTGGATGATCGTCGTAGAACAGCTGTATGAACTTGGGTCTGCGACGTGCAATTCTAATTTTGCGAGATATGAGCGATACAAGAGTCTTACCTCATACTTCCTCGTCAGGAAGTTTGTAAGCAAGCGCCTTCGTTCCAAAGCCAATCATCCAGGAGCTAGAGAGCGCGATTCTCACTCCGCGGTACCACCACTGCTGAAAGTTGCGAATACCCAATATTCATGCGTTTTCCCATTGGCATAAAAAAACTGAACTTCATGCTGGTCCGTAAAAAGAAAATTATGTTTTTTTGTTGCAACCTTTACCAAAATATAGCATGTTCTGCGACTTCTAAAAAAAAAAAAATTACCACCCACTTGCGGCTTTGTGCGAAATTACGGGGTCACAACTCACGAAACTGATTTTAGTAATTTTTTTTAAAGTGGTTTCAATTCGTTGGACCCTTGCTGTGTACACTTCTAAGCGATGGATGAAAAAAGTGAAAGCCGTTTACAAATCCCTGTAACGCCGAATTGGAGCGCAGCTCTTGAGGAGGAGGAGTGAAGGGTACTGAGGGGAGGGTAGACCCCTCCCCCTTCTCCTCCTCCCCTCATTCTTTAATATGCTCCGGGGGGGGGTGTCACGTGACTTCGGGGAGGGGGTCACGTGACCTCGGGGAGGCGTGACCTGGAGGTGACCTCAAGGCCACGTGACCCCAAAGGTGACCCCCACGTGACCTTGGGGGTCACGTGACCTGGAGGGGTCACGTGACCTGGAGGGGTCACGTGACCTCGGGGGGTCACGTGACCTCAGAGGGGTCACGTGACCTCAGAGGGGTCACGTGACCTGGGGGTCACGTGGGGTCACGTGACCTTGAGATGACCTTGGAAGGGGTCACGTGACCTTGGGGAGGCGACCACGTGACCTCGGGGGTCACGTGACCTCAGAGGGGTCACGTGACTTGGGGTCACGTGACCTTCAAAGGGTCACGTGGGGTCATCTTGGGGTCACGTGACCTTGAGATGACCTTGGAAGGGGTCACGTGACCTCGAGGGGTCACGTGACCTTCAGGGGGTCACGTGACCTTGAGATGACCTTGGGAGTGGTCACGTGACCTTGGGGGTCACGTGACCTTGGGATGACCTTGGTTACGCCGACGCCGACGGCGACGCCAACGGCGACGCCGACGGCGTCGCCGCTCAAGCCGGGAACGGGCCCCTAAGAGCTGCGCTCTAAAACAAATTCCCCGCAGGTGGATTGCAGCGTTGGACAGGGCATCCAGAGCGGAGGAACCCGACTAGCGACCACAAACTGCCCTTACCAGAGAACTCTTGTCCAGCTCCAAATGCTCACATCAACTGCCATTTTACAACAGTGACTGTATACGAGCGCAATTTCGACGTCCACAAATGCGCCCGGGCAGTTTTTTTGCGACGGCCTTCAGCAACATATCACCGCCTTTGTTGCGACGTCCCTTTTTTTTTTTTTTTTTTTGTGGACACTGCATGATGCACGAGTCGTGTTGTTTCGAGGTTGTACTAGCTGCATTGAGAACAAGGGTGAATTGCTGACTCAGTGTATGGCTAGCTTTTGCATTGTGAGTGGAGGGTGGCAAGCACAATCCTTTAATTTATTCGAGGAGGGTGTCCTCTTAGACGTAAGGCGAGCATTTTGGAATTACGGTGACCTCCGACGTGAAGTCAGGTCGATATACACGAATGTCGTACAAGGTTCTTTTGAACTGCTTCACACTGAAACTGCATGTAGAAGGTGTCAGGTTAATGTAGCAGCAAACGTCTAGAACTGCATCTTGAGAGTGTATGCATGGCTGAGAGAGGAGCAAGCAACTAAGGTCACACAATGAATTGTGCAATTCTCATGTATTTCATGGAATGCCAGATAAATAAGGGTACCCCAAGAAAATTGTTTCCATCACTGCCCTATGCAGAGCAACTTTTCTAACACTTGTTTAACATTTGGTACCAGGAAAACCTGTGATTACATAACAGGATTTAGACTTCTGCTTTGTCTTTGCTATTTAGTGACATGTTACAGATCCACTAAAATCATTTCCAAATTTTTTGTGTCAGTCATAATATTGTTTTCTTCGAAAAACATTTAGGTTGTGACAGAAATGAGCATTGGTTTGGTGTACTTCAAAGAAGACGAGGAGTTGAAATAGCACAACTTGACAAGTCCTGTCGCCCTGCTTATTGCAATAATTTTTAGTGATATTCTATAAAACCGACTGACACGGGACACACTGGAAATGTCCATCAGTGGAGAATGGGCTTGCCTTTGGCTTACAGTGTCTGCTATCCCCTTGGGGTGAAAAAGACATGTTGTCGACCAGTGCTCCTACTCATGAAAGGTCAAGCCAGGTGCAATGTGCATACCTTTCGTCAGTTTTGGCACAGGGCGAGTCCCAGCATGATGGTGCACCTGTAATATAGCTAGAATCCAAAGACTGTCGCTGCTTTTGACTTTTTTACAGTTTTGTACTAAAGCCAACACGAGGCCTGAAACGTTTTATGGCAACGTGCCCACACCCGTGAACGTGCCAAAAGCGCCGATTCAATTTTGTAAGCAAGAATCTTTTAATGTGCTAACATTTGCAGCGAGCTCAGAGATCCATACTGTATGTGTTGAGTTTAATGCATCTTTGATACTAGAATTTATTACGCAAAGATCTCTCATGTTTTTTTTTTGTTTTTTTTTTTCATACAGAACAAGCAATGTAATCACTTTTACGCAATGTTTTTACATATGCAGGCAAGTTGGAATTTTTTTTTTCATACCGGTGAAACGGCGGAGCAATTATTACTGTACCTTTAGAAAAATGTTAGTCGTAGTTTCAATGATAGGTAGGCAGGCGCAGCTTTCGACAACAGATCATGACGTTGGAAACATTTGGCTCTAAAACTTACGTTAAAAAAATTTGTTAAAAAATAAAACAGCCAAAGATTTCTATAAACAAAAACAAAATTAAACCAGTAGGCATTTTCAAATATTGGATGACACCAATACATATCTCAACCGAAACCAGTCAGGTGGGCCAAATTAGTAGTAGTACTCGAGAGAATAAATTCCAGCTACACATAGACTGCTTTCAAAGTGCAGTAGAACTTCAAGAGACCATGAAAAATTATTCCAGTTAGCAGACACGTTAGTGATCTGAGCTCTTTGAAGAAACGAGATATCAAAGAATTTGTTAAGATTTATGTATTTATGAATTTCCCTATCAGGGTTCTACTTAAAGACACTCTACTTTACAAAATTACGTCGTAACCCTGCTGCTATTATTTCATAAAACCAACTGCTACGTGTAGGGAATTTACCAAATAGAAATATTCTGCACTTCAGGCAGAATATTCCAATTCTTGTTAAAAGCAAGTAGTAATGCAAGTGACATCTCTAGCATTAATATCAGCCACATCCCCGAATAAATGTCAACTTTAAAGCCACGTAAGGTGCTGTTGCGTCAAATGTGGAAGCTCGCACACAGATCTAGAAACAAATTTAAAAGGTGCTCTTTTCGATGCAATCCTGCCAAGAAGGAACCACAATGCACAGTTTCATGCAATTTACTAATTTATCTACATGCTTTCAAGCTGCCAGGCCCCTGACTGACTAAAGGAGCAATGTTGTGAAAAATAAAATAAAGCCAAAATACACTGAGTTGGAGCAATTTCTTCGACAAAAAGAACAACATAAGCCGCTATGGACGATCCAGATTGCTTGCCCATTTTTCAATGTGCACTCAAAAGGGCCGGTAAGTCACCCCAAATGTGACCGCACCTCACTCCCACCAGCAAGGCCACATAAGACCGTGGTAATCATTAAGTAAAAAAAAAAATTAGTTAAATGTAGGTTTACGAAATAAGCTACGCTTCGGTATGGTGCCTGGAATGCGTCTCCGACTGGTGTGTTTACCGCGCCCAAAAAAGTGGTCCCTCGATTTCCGCCTGATGACGTCATACAAGTGTCATGCTGTCGCCGGTCGCGATCCTGGCAGCGTCCCAACAGTTGTGGTGTATGTGGCAGACGCCTGTTCTGCTGCGGGTCACTACCCACTGTGACAGTCCACGGAAACTGAAGCAGCCGAAAGTTGGCACGCCGTGACAACAGCGACACACGCGTTCGCTCGTGCTTTTCGCCAGCATCTCTACACCTAACCGCCTGGATCGCGACAGGCAACAACACGACACTCAGGTTTCTGTTACGTCGTGTGTTGCCACTTGGGGACCACTTTTGGTGTATGGGCAGGACAGAACGCTAAACGCGATCCACGCACCATAGCTTCGGTGTAACAACACCTCGGGTATCCTGGATCAGTGAGTGATGTGATTGGTCTGAGGCATTATGGAGCAGCCAAATATCCATTTTGGAGCACCAAAGAGCAATTTTGGAGCATAAGCACACCTTTCATTTTCATCCATAGAAGTGTGAATATTATGGTAAAATTTATGTTTTTATGTCTAGTTTGCCCCACTTAAAAAGCTAACTTGCACAAAGAAAGAACACAGACACTGCTGACTCTCAATTCTGGTTTGTACTACACATTTTCATCTCCTTTTTATCTTGTATACATAGACATAATTCAAACTGCAGCTCAAAATAACTAGTGACGCACAACATCGCTAGAAAAGTGACTCAGAATGCAGACTTGGCAAAACAAAAACCAAAACCTTCTTTGGCGTGAGCTAATACATACCGTGTTGGCACGAAACAAACAAAATGCGAGGTGATGCATGGTGGCGGTCACCGCGGTGCCCTGGCGCGGCGCAGTTTTTCCTCGATGTTGCACCGATTTCGCGCTGCACCACCAAGTAGCGCTGTGCACTGTCCTGGTTTAAAGCCCCTTGATAAAAGCGTTTTTTACAAGTACCGCCAACCATTGTTGTGCAAGCGCGCGAGACACGTGCCATGAGCGGGTGCTCCGCCGCCATTCGCTTCCAAGGCCCGCTCATTTCAGTGCTGCGCCGCCATTTGCTTCCAAGGGCCGCTCGAGACATGGGCCTCGTGCACTCGCGCATTTGACGCTACTTGCAAGACAAACGCAAACACATCGAGGGGCTTTATCCTGGTTTCAAGGCAATTCCAGTGCAAGTTGATTGAAGGTGCTATGCGGTGGACAAGTTCGTCTGCTTCTTGCGCAGGGGGTAGCGGCGATGTCAGAACGCCGCGCCTCGATTGGGTGATCGCGACCCCCTATCTGAGCGTCGTCTGCTCCTTTGCAACGTCGTCTGCGTCTGTCTTGCCTTTCCTGCGACTTTTGGAAGCGCAGGTCTTTACGAGCGAGCTCGACTTCGCCTTTAAGAGAGGGCAGACGAAATAACTCGAGCGGTACATTGTTTTTGTCTAACAACTAGCACACGCACATCAAGGAGACAAGTCAAAGGACTCACCCCTATTGGAAAAACGTACAAGAAACAAACCTGCTGCTTGTACAGTCCTGGTATGACACCATCATAATTTATTGTTATTATACATGCAGCTAGTTTGGTTTTGCGTTCTCCATAACTGGAGATACCGGCACCGCTATGGCTCCGGGTCTGTCTATACTGGCAGCCGGTTTGCTCGCCGATATGACTCGGTATGGCTGGTATGATTTTGCGTCCGATGACGTAGGCGACCGCCATCTTTCCAACGAAACGCCTATACCACAATACCACCGGTATAACTAAACCATACATGCAGAAAGACGACCGCCATCTTCCAACAAAAACGTCCATCGTTTACCACCGGTATCGTTACATACATCATACATGTCGAAAAATAACATAAGCCGCGTTTACATGAATGCGACTTAGTCGCATTGAATCCAGTTGCCGCATTCAATATGCGGTCATGTAAACGGCATAATGCGCAAAGCGCATCGCATTAAAGTCGCTAGACAGAGGTGGATCGAGATGGCGAGTGCGGATTCATTCAGCCCATGTAAACGAAGATCGCATCGCATTTTGGAACGGGGAGGATTATCGGAAGGCGCTCGCTGCGGGAGCGAGTGAACAGCTGAGAACATGGTGGCGGCCAACCTCGTCGGCGGCGCGGAGAGCGGTCCCGCAATTTTTTTCCCGAGAACAAACGCAAGCTTTTATTGCGATCATAAGTAAGCGGAATTTAGCGGAGCTGCTCGGTGAGGGCGGCCCCGTCCAAACCTTTGCGAAGTACGACTTGCGCGTCCGAAGGGGTCACAAAGGCTTCGGTGCAAGCACGCATGACACCGAGAGCTCCGAGCACTGTAGAGCACTGCATGGTTGCGCAGAACGAGCAGCTCCTACCTCGCTGCCGTTCCTGGCTGCGCAAGAGCCTCTCGGACTCGGGGTCTGGTCGCGATCGGCGAGGTCTGGCGCGGCGAAACGTGGAGGCTTCCTCAAAGCGTGCACACACACGTCGCCTCTCGTTCAGAGTGGACCGGCGGCCCGGACTGGAGTCCTAAACGCCTTGGTTTTGATGCTTCTTCCGTCTCCCAACTTCTTCCACAGCACCGAAGACAGCGGGCGCGATCTTTACGTTCACTGAATGCGTCGAAAGGCCTCCACGTGCGATGCACCGGAAAACGTGGTGCGGCTGGTGCCGGAACGGAACTGACGGAACTGCATAACTTCGAGCTTTGAGTCAACGTGCACGGCAACAAACCGATCGTGACACTAAGCCGCGGATACCGCATCGCCGGTCGACAGGGGCAAATGGCCCGTTGCTCGTATCGTGGGCCGTGACTCGTACTCGGCCAACTCGGCGTCTTTTCGTGGCCCCTCGCGTCGTCGCAACCAGCCGCAAACATACCAGCCCGCGACCGTGGCCGATGTCGGAGAAAAGCGAAACCGAAACGTAAAGCTTCCGCCCAGTGGCTTCCGCTGCCGCGCCTTTTCTAACTTCCCGGCCAGTCCCGGTTTACACGCTTCCGGTCGTCGCGGAGATGGCGACGCAGCCAGACGTAGCGGTTTTGGCGCTGGCTCCTTCTGCGTTTTACGGGACAGATGTTTTACGGTCCGTTTCTACTGCGTCTCTGGCTCTCAACTCGACGACACCTCTCATGGTTCAACCAGGCGTGGTCAGCCGGGGTCAGCACAGCGCGGCCGGCTCAACTCGTCCGATCGCCGGACCGCAGGCGACTTCCGATTTCGGCCGTTAGGCCTAGGATCCGAAGGACTCTGTTTCCGTGAAGCGGTAAGCGAATCTCGTCCCGTTTTCGTTCTACTTTTAAATTACGTTAGGTGCGCTACAGTGTAAGCATGCGTGCCAAGTGTTCGTGACAATTTTGAACTAGAATAATTGTGCTTCATTGCGGTTTGTCATTTACGAAAAAGTAAATCGAGCAATGAACGAGGAGCCATGCTTGAAAACGATGTATGTACGATGTTAACTTCTACCTGGGCGGCTTAAAAAAAAGTCAAGACTGGTTACGGTTGAATGCGAGGCTGGTCCCAATGCAATGGTAACCACTTAGAGCACCTTTCTGAACAGCATGTATGCAATATAGCGATCAACGAGACAAGCGACGACGAGAAGCTACGAGTGCCGGCGCCGAGCGACGAAGATTTCTCACTCTCGCTGCTTGCGCCGCTCGGTTCCTGGGCTTCTAGAAAACGTCGCTCATCACCTTGATCGCTCGCACCAATCGCTTTCATGATGTGTGCTGACTACCGTGTTTATTCAAATATATGTCGACCTTTTTTTTTATTTTTTTTTATTTATTTTTTTATTTTTTTTCG